CTTTGCCTCGCCGGCTTGCTGCAGGCAGCCTGATGGAAGCCTTCCCCCCGCGCAGACCACCCCCCCCGGCGCAGACCCTCCCTGAGACCAGCCGCCCCCTAATTCATGCAGCAGCCAAATCGCCCGCTCAGAACCTTAATGCCAGGCATTGCCAGCAGCTGACAAAGTAGGGTTTTTGCTCTCAAGACGCCACAGCTTCAAGGGAGCCTTAATCCACCGCCCACCCACCCCTCAACCACACTTTTGCTTCCCTGGCTTGCTGCAGGCAGCCTGATGGAAGCCTTCAGGTGCGTGAGTTGGGGCAGGCAGGACCGGGGTGGCAGCGAGCTAGAGGCAGTGGCTTTGGGCAGGGATGGCGGCACGGCAGTTGGCGCTCTGGACGGAGATGCGCCCTAGGCCAGACACTAGCTGGCCTAGTGAGAGAGCCGGCCCTGGCCCCGCCTCCGGTTAGGTGGCAGACCAGCACACCTCTGCAGGGATTTTTTTTTGGGGGGGGGAGAGAAAGGCCACACCTGAGCAAAGCCCCAGGAGGCCTCCAGTGTTCCTTCTGAGCTGAGTTGGTGAAAAGTACTGAGACAGATGCAGTGATTTCAGCTCATACTTTTATTTAAGGTGAAGAACAAGATGAAAGTACCGGCTCGCAGGCCGGTTTATATTCCCAGTAAACCCACACCCAAAACACACCCCACACCAGTGATAGGATATTTATATTAGCCAGGCGTTCCATAGGTCCTCGCTAGGACCCTAGCCCTCGGATAGGTGGTGGCCAGGCCATTGTTCTCTGAAGCGAAGCTCAGGGGCTTCGCATGACCACGTGGAGGCCCGGCCTCGCACGTGGTCAACTTCCAATACATAGCAGTTGGTGTGAGCTAGCTCTCAGTTTCCTTAGCCTCCGACTCACACATTTTTGTCTCAGCTCAGGAAGGATAGCTCCAGAGCAAACTTATTTGTGCAGCAGCCAAATCACTCACAACTTTAAGGCTGGAAGCTCACAAAGGAAAATTTCTGTTCACAAGACTCCTGAAATATACTGGGTTCAGACAGGCTGAGTGAGATCAACAAAGTTTTGCTGAAGGTATGAGCTTTCACGTGCACTCCCTCAGTGTTGTCTCCAGTTTATACAACTACGTCTCAAAATTGGATCTTCCTCAGGAATATTAGAATGGTACAAAAGCTTTCTTGTTCATAAAGTGCTTTACAGAAAGTCATGAAAGATAATACAATTCAAGTAGGACGCTGATCCATTAGAATCTTAGCAGCATATCTGAGCCTGAACATATGTGCCCATATGTGCCTGCACAGAAGATACTCAATGAACAACAGTTACATGTAAGTGCAACCCTGTTTTTCACTGAACAAATGGGATCTAAACAGTGTAGTAGCTTCCATGGCCACGATCATGACCTTACATCTAATATTCTAAAGGGTGCAAGAATTGCCTGCAAGGATGGCGTCGCAGAAATACAGGATGCCTGTAGAAAGATCCATCACAAACGGATGTGGGAGTTCTGCTTCTGATGAAGAGATGCAGTCCCTTGGGAGAGACTCAGGTGTAAGACACGTGTGTGGTAAGAAGACTTCCTCTCAACAGGTTCGTTCATTTTTATTGCTCATAGACCCATAAGTCATAAGCAAATACACAGGGTATAATACAAAATACAACATACAGTACATTACAATTACAGTTACAATTTCACAAAATTAAGCAATTTGGCTACCAAATATATATAATAACTGCCTAAAAGAGTCAATTCATTTAATACCACCCAGGGTTACAGATAGAAACTTTGCCACTGCCAACGTCACATTTGGATCAGTATTGACTAAGAAATTAGCTACAAGTTCTGGATTAGTAGCAGGGCTCCATTTTTTTTTTTGGTAAATATATTTATTGGGTTTTTACCATTATACACCTAAATTATACATACATACAGAGTAGTCAACAGGAATACACCAGACATTACTAAACATCACTTTCTTCCCAACAACACAGAAAAACCCTGCCCTTTACTTAGCTTGTAAAAAAGAGAAAAATATACACTTATCGTTACTTACACTCCTATCCTATCTGTATTGAAAATTACTTCTACTATCTTTAGAACTTTTTATTAAAGCTTTCAATCATGTCAGTGATGTGTAACATTATTCTAACTTCTCAAGCATTTTACTATCTTTATTCAATTCCAAACCCTCCTAGTTGCATCCTGTTGGTTTTTTTATATATAGGGACATCATAGAGAGAAACACCATCTTAACTTTTTATGTAGTTTTTTCCTATTTTCATATTTCCCTTATACCCATTAAATTAATTTACCATTTTATTAGCATTTAAATACCACATTTTCCATTTACGGTAACTCTAATCTTACTTTACCAGCATGCACACTACCATCTTTTAGCAATAAACATCTCCTTCCTAACATAAGCACAGACCTTCTGACACCTCTCTTCACAACCTCTCCTTTTATATCACCCTCCCTTTTTTTTTTAATTTTCTTTTAACATTTTCCTTCAGAGGTTTGCCAGTTTTTTATTATGTGACTGTTAATTCTTTGGACTATTAACTCTCTCTTCCAAAACTGTACAGAGGCTTTACATTCCTTTAACTCTCTTTAGATTAGTTCAAAATTCATTATCATATACCCACAAATCCTATTAAAACCCCATTTAATTAATTTTTCCTTTTAATCAACCAACTTATTCATACTATACTTCCAAATTCATTAACTAACACCTATCATTCATATAATTTAATCTCCCCATTCATAAATTTGTAGATTAATCATCACTCTCATTCTTACAGTCAAACATTATAAAATTAACATTTTCCACCTTCCATTTCCATCTCCTCCAAATTGATTATCTATCACCTATCATTCAAAATTCATTACTATTTACCCACAAATCCTATTAATACCCCAATTAATTAATTTCCCCTTTTAATCAACCCTTACATTCATACTCCTTCCAAATTCATTAGCTATCACCTAACATTCATATAAATATAATCTTTGCATGGGTCTTTTTCCCAAGTAATCCTAAATTTAATATTCACTCTCATTCTTTCAATTAAATCTTATAAGATTACTAACAATGTATATAATAAATACTAATAAGTAACTTTAACCAGCTAACACCACTACAAATGAAAATACATATTTAAAGTGATTTTTTTAGGTCTTTTTTCCAAGTAATCCTACATTTAATATTCACTCTTATTCTTTCAATCAAACCTTATAAAATTACTAGCAATATATATAATAAATACTAATAGATTTATCCAGCTAACACCACTACAAATGAAAATACATATTTAAAGTGATTTTTGGGGTCTTTTTTCCAAGTAATCCTACATCGGAGAAGCACCAAACTTTCTATTTTTATGCAGTTTGTTTTTCTCTTTCCGCCTCTGTCTTCTGTTCTTCTGTCTCAATCCTTCTACTCGGCTTTGATCTTTGCACATCTTTTGACCTCCTAGTCTTTCCTTTCTATCTTTCCTTTTCCTTTCCATCTTTCCTCTTTCCATAATGTACTTCCTTCTTTCCTTTTCCTCTCCCATTTTTTGCCTCTTTCGATCCTTCCCTCTCTCTTACTTCCTGTTTTTTGTCTCTGTTTCTTCCCTTTTAACAGCCCTTTTAACAGTCTTATTGTGCGTCTGGCTACTTTGTTATTTAGTCTCCCTTTTGTTCCTCCAAAAACTACACTGTCTATAGTTTGTATTTTTTCCGGTTGCTCTACTATAACAGTCCCCTTCCTCCTTTTGCTCTTCCTCGAGGGTCTCTTTGGGCAAATTTTGTTCCTGATTTTCTCTTTTTCCTTTTCCATTTTCAGTGCTTCGTAATTTCCCCAGTATTTCTTTACATGCCTCCTCACAACCTCTCTGAACAGCCTCTTGAACTGTCTCTTTCAGGGCTTTCAGGAAATCTTCCATCTTCGTTTAATAGGCTATGTCCCCTTTTTTCTCCTCTGCCGGTAATCCAAACCAACACTATGCAGTGTAGCTCCTCTTCCCCCCGAAATAATAGAAAGCAGGGCTCCATTTTTGAATATACACCGAGATCCATCTGCCAGGAGCCACATTGTATTTTCTGCAATCAGTGAAAAAATGCCAAATTGTATCCAAATCACCTGAATGACAAGTACAAAGTCGGTCTGAAAAAGGAGTCCCTAGGAATCTGCCTGCTAATTCCCCAAGAGGCAAAACATTTAATCTTGCCTTGGAAAACAGTATTCTATATTTGGGGACACTTCCTCTGAACTAAACAGCAGCCTTTTCAAGGGCAGGGAATCCCACAGAGGCATGGGTGCACTATCACAGGTAGTGCCGACGTCTAGGCAGGCCTGCATTTTGTAGGCCGTGTATAATTCCTAGGGTTTCTCACTCAATCTAATAACAAGATTTGCGTATTATCATGGGGCAGAATTGTACCCTCAAGTCAGGGTCCTGTGTGAATGTTACCCATTACAATAGCTGGCAGCAGCATCTGCATGAAACAGAGTAAGTGTCCCTAGTTATCATAGGGAGAGGGAGGCTGCTCGGAACATGCTCAGAGGTCTTCTTTCTTACTTGGTTGTCTGTCTGAAAGATCAGGCTTGGTACTAAACAGGTTCCAAGCTGAGTCCCAGACAGAACGTTTGCATTCTACTATGTAAGCCAGGGGTGTCGAACGCATTTGTTATGCGGGTCGGATCTGACATAAATGAGACCTTGTTGGGCCGGGCCATGTGTGTCATAAAATGTAACGCCAGGTAGTGGAGATATAAGCGTTTATAAAGGACACAAACACAAAGGGCTTTTTTTACCTAAAATAAAATCAAGCTTAAAACATTAGCACTCTTGCAATATTTTGTTTATTTAACAGTGTCTGATAACTGACACCTCTTGCTCTGAATTATTGCATCAAAATGTCTGTCCTGTTGCAATTTTGAATATGCCGTTCAGGTGTGTCTCTGTAAACTGCAAACCTACAATGACGCAGCAGCAGCAGAACTGGAAGAAGAAGCAGAAGACAGCCAGTTCCACTGTGGGCCTGATAGAATCCCTCCGGGGGCCTCACCCCTGAAATGTAAGCGCTCTCTTGCCAGCATTCGGACTTTATTAATTATAACATCAAGCACCTCAAAGTGTTAACACTTGCGAATTCTAGGCTGTGATCACACACACTAAATAATCGACTTTCAATGTACTTTCCAACTGTATTTTTACTGTGTGAAATCCAGTTTGAAAGTGGATTGAAAGCTCCAGCTTCCCCCCAGCACCACAACACAGCTGTTCTCCTCCTCCCTTTCCTCGTGGTTCAAGGTGGCTTACAATAATAGTTTAAAATGTTTTCAGTTAAAAGCAAAGATAAAACGGTAAACACCAGACCTCTCTCACCTGAAATCCAGCCTGCTGATTCTCCAGAGTGATCCGTTTCTCCCGTTATTGCCTCCGGGCACAGAAGGATATTTCCTAGCATCCATGCCCTCAAGGTCCTTGAACTAGGTACAGCAGAGTGGTGAGCCCAGAGCCTTCGGCGTGACAAGGAAGGGCTCAGTCACTGAGCTGTGGACCAGATTTTAGTGACTGAAGCTCAGCCATTGCATTTGTGTGACTAGTGATAAGCTTACAAATGTATAAGGATATTGATAAGCTGGTTGCAGGAAGGCTGAGGAATCCCTGTATGTCATCTAGCTTAATATTCGTGTTTTACATATAGTATGTCCTGGTGAGGTTTGTTTTTTTAAAACTCTGTCAACAAGTCCTCTTTCACTGCTGGGGTCCTGAGAGCCAGTTTGGTGTAGTGGTTAAGTGCGCGGACTCTGATCTGTGAGAACCGGGTTTGATTCCCCACTCCTCCACATGCGGCTGCTGGTGTGATCTTGGGTCAGTCACAAGTTCTTTCAGAGCTGTTCTCTCAAGGACACTCCCTGAAAGAACTCTCTCAGCCCCACCTACCTCACAGGGTGTCTGTTGTGGGGAGGGGAAGGGAAGGGAAATTCTAGGCTGTGATCACACACACTAAATAATCGACTTTCAATGTACTTTCCAACTGTATTTTTACTGTGTGAAATCCAGTTTGAAAGTGGATTGAAAGCTCCAGCTTCCCCACCACCACCACAACGCAGCTGTTCTCCTCCTCCCTTTCCTCATGGTTCAAGGTGGCTTACAATAATAGTTTAAAATGTTTTCAGTTAAAAGCAAAAATAAAACGGTAAACACCAGACCTCTCTCACCTGAAATCCAGCCTGCTGATTCTCCAGAGTGATCCGTTTCTCCCGTTATTGCCTCCGGGCACAGAAGGATATTTCCTAGCATCCATGCCCTCAAGGTCCTTGAACTAGGTACAGCAGAGTGGTGAGCCCGGGGCCTTCGGCGTGACAAGCAAGAGCTCAGCCACTGAGCTGTGGACCAGATTTTAGTGACTGAAGCTCAGCCATTGCATTTGTGTGACTAGTGATAAGCTTACAAATGTATAAGGATATTGATAAGCTGGTTGCAGGAAGGTTGCAGGAATCCCTGTATGTCCTCTAGCTTAATATTCGTGTTTTACATATAGTATGTCCTGGTAAGGTTTGTTTTTTTAAAACTCTGTCAACAAGTCCTCTTTCACTGCTGGGGTCCTGAGAGCCAGTTTGGTGTAGTGGTTAAGTGGTTAACTCTGATCTGTGAGAACGGGGTTTGATTCCCCACTCCTCCACATGCGGCTGCTGGTGTGATCTTGGGTCAGCCACAAGTTCTTTCAGAGCTTTTCTCTCAAGGACACTCCCTGAAAGAGCTCTCTCCGCCCCGCCTACCTCACAGGGTGTCTGTTGTGGGGAGGGGAAGGGAAGGGAAAGGAGATTGTGAGCCGCTCTGAGACTCCTTTGGGTAGTGAAGGGCAGGGTATAAATCCAATCTCCTACTACTACTACAGAAAATCAACTCTCTGGGGGAAAGCAAGGATTTTATTACCGCTACTGGCAATCCACGAGGTCCTGCGGTACGTTTGTACTGTTTATTTTTCTCCACACCACCCTCACCTCTTCCTACAGAAATGAAATATGCCGGTCTTTGAGTTGTTCCGGCAGGTAACCTCAGAGCCTTGAGTAAAACAGAGGCAGCCAGCTTGGTGAAAGAAGCCCAGAATGGCAAAGGGGGGCCGTCGAAAATGAGATTCAGAACTTCCCAACACAGAGACGGGAGGCTTATCAACATGTGTGCCTTTCGGCTCCAGTCCCAGACCTCTGTGCCCTTACTGTAGGATTAGGCCCTGAGGTATCTGTTCCTCTCCTGTCCTGGCTGGAGCAGCTGGCCGGCCCCTTCCTGTGAGCCAGGAACACCTTTCTCCCTGGGCGGGTCGAGTGTCCTTGCGCTGCAGAGACACTGAAGAAGAAGAGGAGGAGTTTGGATTTATACCCCACCCTTCACTACCCGAAGGAGTCTCAGAGTGGCTGACGATCACCGTCCCCTCCCTGCAACAGACACCCTGTGAGGTTGGTGGGGCTGAGAGAGCTCTTTCGAGAACTGGTCTTTAGGAGAACAGCTCCGAGAGAACTCGTTACTGACCCAAGGTCACACCAGCAGCTGCACGTGGAGGAGTGGGGAATCAAACCCAGTTCTCCCAGATTAGAGTCCGCGCTCCTAACCACTACACCACACTGGCAACCAGTTCTAGCACACCGTCCCTTAGGCCTCTGCCTTTATCCACTGCCTCCCTGCCACACCCACTTCCTGGTTCTCTAAGTCTTCTCCTGAGTGGATGAGTACTAACAGTCATTTCTCGTTCCTGCTTCTTGGTGTCTGCTGAGGTCCTCATTTGACTGTTCCCTCTTCCTGCGACTGAACTGCTGTTTCTCTTAGAGCTGCCCTTTGACTCCGCCCCCCCATCCCCCTAGACATGGGGTGTTGTATGGTGTGATACACGCATCTTTATGAAGTGACATCTCTGTTTGTCTCTTTTAGCTAGTGGCAACAAATGGAAGCGCAGCTCCATTGGACTCTTGGTTCTCCTGGTGATCTCAGTCACTACGAATATCTGTCTGTTGGGTGAGTTCTCAAGTCCCCTTTTCATGGCACTTTTTCTTCTGTATTTTATTCATTGATACCCTGACTTTCTCACTGAGACTCAAGGCAGATTACAACACCTAAAATAACATTAAATCAGAGATCCATTGGCTGTGAAGTTGTCATTTCTCTGCCCGCCTCTTCTCCGGACACATAAGCACATGGCTCCTTTGCCAGCTCCTCTGTCTGTGTGGCTCCTTTTCTTGCACTCCCGTCTCCCCCAGC